AGTGTACCTCTGGTGCAAATTACTGACCTCTGTCATCATTTTAGGTGGGGGAACTTGCACAATCGGTGGCTGACTAAATACTTTTTTGCCCCACTGTATACTCTGGTGTCAAAACTCATCATCAAGGGTACTGGTGACATTGTGAAATGTTTTCTATTTGGGGCAGATAGTTAACAAGTGATTACAGTGAAACTAATATAACCTGCTGTAGCCTGATAATGTTGTCTTTATCTCTCTTTCAGGTCAGTGTACTTGAGAGAAATTTGGGATTTCTTACAACACTCCATTCCTACATTTAAACACCTGGATGACAGTTTGCCAGTGACGAAGCCTGAGCCCACAGATGCAGCTCAAGTGAAGGATTCCACCCTAAGTAGAAGAAAGAATCAGCTACTGGAGTCAGAGCAATGTAAAGGTAGATATTGTGCCTCAGTTAGACACAACAAGTAAGACACAAAGTCACAAAGAGGCAAATAATTATGCAATTATACATACTTGCAAACTTTTGTCTCAATTACACACTCTGCTTGCACATTTAATTGAGTGAGTAAGTCAATGCAGTCAGCCATTACTGTCATAATTTGTATGCACAGAATTGCTTTGCTGCTCAGTTAATTAATTTATCAGCAGAAGGTTTTAGAATCATTTCTGTGTCCTGTGTCTTTGTAACTGTGCTGTATTAATGGATTTATATGTCATGTCTACATTTCCTTTGCTGAATTAACAGCTATATGCAATATATATTTCCTTTCCCAAGGCACATCAGAAGCCAGTCTGTTTCTCACCACAATGACATAAAAAGGACAAAACTGAATTACGTGAAACTTGGTAGAGAGGTAGAGGAAGGTCTGCTTAATTTAAATACGGAGGTCCTGCTTAAAAGTTCACAAGTATAGAGTTAATGCTTATAGAGCTAAAGAAATCCAACTTGTAGCAATCACAGTTTTGGTCTAGGGATTTACTTTAGGACAGGACAGGCTTAAGACCTAAAGTCACTACTTTGCTGTACTTCAAAATGCCAAACTTTCTGAACTCCGTTGTCAGCCCTGGGGCCTCTTTCATGTTACATCAAGAATAACTTCCTGTCTTTTGTGAGGTCTGCCGCCCATATATTATGGAGTGCAGAGGGTTAATGTGTGTATGGTGGACCATGAATAAACCAGCAGAGGGAGCTTTAGAAGGGTAAATTATTTGGTGCTCCCGCAGGGCAGGAGAGCTTCCCCGGTCAACTGTGGGAAGATAAAAGTGAAACGTCCTCACAAATGTATTTGTTGCTTGGAGTTGTTTCAGGCCATAGCAGAAATACAATGCTTTTTAAGGCTGTACAGTTCATTTAAATGCTTTGCTCAAAATGGTAATTGCGTGGATAAATTAGCTAAGGTCTTGGTGTTGCATATTAAAGGTCAAGGGGCAAAACAGGTAATTATGAGGTAATTATGTGGAAGAAAAGCTTCCTCTTGTATTAAAACCTGCATATGTAATATTCAGAGTATTGAATTCAGAAATCCTTTTGTGATGTTTTGCTATTTTCAACTTCTATATAAATTAAAATCTATCTTTGTTTTGCTCTCACATTCACCCACCTGCTCTTTCTGACAGTAGACTGTTCCCTGTGCTCTGCTACAGTCTCACTTTTTTGGAATAACTCAAGTGTTGCATATTAACATAATGTAATGTCATGCATGTGAAGGTGGTATTACTTCACAAAACATTTTCTGCTTGAGGGAAATCTGCTGCATTGTCCTTTTCTACGTATGCAAACACTAAAAGACCCTACACGTTTCTTCTATTTCGCTGTTTTGGTGCTTACTGTGAAATTCCAGTGAAATGCAGAAATTAGTAGTCAATGTGACAACAACTTCTCTTTTCAATTTTTAATGTGTAGCCTTTATATTAGCCTGGCGGTGTTCCCATCACTCTTCACCATGGTCGGCCAAATTGATTTTCCATGTCTCCTGGCCCATGTGCTCTTATATGATATACTTTTAAGATGCACTAAAGGGGGAAGAACTCCCTAAAGAACCTAAATATAGCCTCATTGTTTATACCTGTGGAGGACAATAGTGTTTTTTAATGTAATCTTTCTAGTCTGGGAAAATAGGGGTAAATGTAATAAAGGATAGAGTGCAAATAGAAATACACAATGTATCGCCAACTGCTGCACCTCTAAGAAAAAACAAACATACAGCACGTGGAACACAAAAATTAGAAAATACACAGATATATAGGTCAACAATCTTCTTATAGTGTGAATGTGAGAGAGAGAGGGTGGGAGTATCTGTGTCTTTGTCTCAGATGTACTTGATAATGAAGGTGTAAAGCCGCAATAACGCCCCCAGGAGCCAGAGGCAGACTGGCTTGATACCAGGACAACCGTGCAATCCACAGCTCCCAAGAGTACCGTAGACTTAAGGTCACACTTCTCTGCGACATCCCCGGAGGAAGGCCACACGACCAAAGGGTGAGAGGACCAGAGGCAACGGGAAGTTGACCCTGCTAGAGGCGGGCCACCCTTGCACGAGTTGAGATCCAGGTCCCAAGGAGAAGGTCCAAGCCAGGAAGTCGGCCAACGACCACACCAGAACATCCAGCCATGCACCGTGGAACCAACAAACAGAGAAACCTCCAGTGGGGAGCGTTGACCATGTCCCACAGGGGCAAAGGCTCAGCGAGCTCCAGCCATGCACACACACACTCATACAGGCCGTTCACTCACTCACTCTCACCTAGCAGTAGGTTTAAAAAATAATTTTCCGATTCAAATCGATTTTAGCTTGAATAACGTGATATTGATTAATTAAATCCTGAATCGATTTTTAAATATAAATATATTTTGCCAGAAACGCCAGAATCTCAGGTTAAAGCTCACAAAACTATTTGAGAGCAGGTAAACACATTCGGCACAAAGATGTAAACACGGATCGTGCACCCAACAGCACATAAAGAGACACGCCATCGGGTGGTGAAAGCTGACATCTCAGAGATTCTGATGCCGACAGGTTTCGTCACTCTCTGACCAAAATTCACTTCACCAGCAGCAAAAGAAGATCAAAGCTACACTTCACATTTAATAAACATTGTCATTAATTCCCTCTTGCTTTTGCTGTTTAAACACACGATAAAATCACACTTCCTGCACAGCTCTCTCTCTCTCTCATTGTACTTCAAGAATAGTTTGCCATCTCAAATCTCTGTTTTCTTCATTATTCACTTGCTTATTAAACATCAGTCTAGTGTTGTGTACAGTGCTATCGGCCTGTTGTTTTTTTTTCTTTTTCCAACAAGAAAGCCTAATTTTGACTGTTTGATACCAAAGAAATTTTAACTTTGTAAAATCATGGCAAATTGCAAAACGCTTGGCTGTGTCTCTAATAAAACCTCTGTATCTTCGCTCTGCTTCACTTCAGCAGCATCAGGTAATGTTCATATGTTGATTCATGGTTTTCTTCTGTTTTTGATGCACTGCAGAATATTTTTAAGGGGGTTATCTGCTATAAAAAGCCAGACCAGGGAAATTTCCTTCATGTTTTTCTGTGTTTTATCCTCAGTTACTTTGACACAAAGGCATCTGCTGTGATGCTCACACCTGTGATGAAGTCTCACAAGTGTCAGCTTTGTTTTTATACATAGATATAAAAATATGGATATGCACTGATAAATGATCAGAATTATAATATTTCTAACAGTCTGAATCAAAATTGAATCGAATGGGGACCTTGTGAATCGGAATCGAATCGATTATAGAAATCAGTGACGATAACCAGCCCTACACTCACCGACCCACTAATGACACATAGAAAGACATAAAGACACATGTACACATATTGACCCCCTCCCCTTAGAGGTGTTGGCGAGCAGGTGCTGCCGCGAACCAGCAGCAAACTGGGACAAAGCCAAAGCGTACCACAAACTGCCTGTAGGACCCCCATTCCAGGCAGGAGGTGTGAAACAGGTTGTAGGAAGCTATTTTGTGTATGGTATTTTTTGTCAGCTCTGCTTTCTCTTTTGTTGGATTTAATTTAATTGTTGTGTGGCGCTTTCACTATATTGATGTTACTATTTAGAATCAATCACATTTAGTCTAAAATTAGTTGTATATTAACACTTATGACAATGCAGTTTAACTGTACCTGTTATTGTTCATTGCGTGTGTTTCTCAGCAGACCCTGACATAGTGGTTTGTGCTGCTTGCTACCCTTTTCAACTACATAACGGTTCCTTTGGGTTTCGCCAAATGGTATGTCTTTTTAATATTCCTCCTAAAATGTTGACCACGTATATATGTTGACTCATAATGTGCAATTTTTAGTCTTCAGACTTTTGGAACTATGAAATTTCGATTTCACTTGCTAGAGATTGTAGTTAGATATTTAGTGCAAATTTGCGAGGATACAAATTCACATTCTGATGTAACTGTAACATGCACATTGTGACAGGTTTAAAGTATATATACACAAATTTTATGTAATGATTTCATATACTGTACTGTGTCTTGAGTCAAGACTCATTTCTTTATATTTATTTAACTGTAATTTTCTAAAGGCTCCTGAGCAATAGTTCTGCAGGCTCTCCAAAGGTTTTTTGTATGTTAACCCACTTAACATGTAACTATGACTCATTCAAGCATTAATAAAATCACCTAATTCCCAGAATGAACCAGTGTTGTATCCACACAACTTACCATTTGAAACTGGTTCTTTGCTATCTTTAGGCACTTTGTTACAAGTGGTCTGTTACAAAAACACATAATTTGTTCCCATTTCCTGAGCTTAATCTTTGAAAAATGTGAATGATAACAGAGTTTGACAGGCATAAAACAAATAAATAAAAAAATTTGACATATTTCAGCATAATTAGCAGTTTATCCTTAAAAAATCTGGGGCCTGAAAAATATTTATAGCAAATGAACAGTATCTGAAAGTCTTGTGCTTAAGTAATATCCAGCAAAGATCTGGCACAGGACCTAAGAGACACACTAGACCCTTTACTTGAGCCATCTACTGTTCGTTGAAAGCTCATCAGAAATGGTCTCGGTGGAAAGCTGGCTGTCAAGAAGCCATTCTCTAGAAAGGGAAACAGCACAAAGGGCTGAGGTATGCCAAATTACACAAGAACTGGACTGAAATTCAGTAGCAACAGGTCTGATGGAAAATTTCCAAGTTTTACATTTTTGATTTAAAATGCCATCAGTATGTATGGTGGGGTTCATGACAGTGAGTGTCTACAGTTATCTGTAAAACATACTGACACACTGGAGTCTCTGTCATGGTTTGGGCCAGTTGTGTCGGAGATCTTTTCAAAATTGATGGTAAATGGACTGGTGCTTATATAGCTCATTGGCAGGGGTTCCAATTGTCAACAGGACAGTAATCACAAGCACACTGCCACTGCAGTAATTATACCTGGGTGGAAAAACACACAATGAAACTCAGTCAGGGATTGGCCTCCCCAGAGCCTGTACCTCCACATTATTGAAGCAGTGTGGGATCATCTTGACAGAGAAAGGAGCAAAACACATGCAAAGAAGAGCTTTAAACGTCCTTCAAGAAGCCTGGAGAACTATTCCTGAAAATAAATTTTTCCCAAGAGAGTTCAGGCTATGATGTTTAAAAAAGTGATCATACCAAATATTGACTTTAAAGCTCATTAGAATTGTGCAATTGCTGTTTTTGCCTTACATACTGTATTTTCATGTATTTTGGCAGATGTGTCTGAACTTATTGCCTGAATGATTCTGTCCTCCATGCTAATATGTCGCTATGTTTTTAAACTAACACCTTAGATAATCACACAATATTGTTAAAATGCAGTGGGTGTTAAAGATTAAAAAAATGTTTACTATATACACCCCTAAACCTGATTGGAGAACAGTTTCTAATTATCTGCCAGAGTATTTCTTAAATATTCATGGTTGACTCCTGCATGCATGATTTCTGTGTATGTGTGTCGGTTATGCAGGCTAATTCCTCTGAATTTCTACGTCGTTATGGCCTCTCCTTGCTACACAGCCATGCTGTCCTGTTGACTCGTACCCGCGCATGCCCGCTAGAGTCACCACCCAAACCTCCACCTGTGCCCCGTTGGAAACTCATCCGTCAGCCCAAGGAGATCTTGGTCACTGCTGAACCAAAGAGTAAGTTAGAGGAAGATTGAAACAGGAAATGAAAGATGTTAAAATTAAGTTTGGAAAAAAGGCGGTGAAGGAGAATCAGGAGGAGTATGCAGGGGAGGATATCAAACAAATAGAAAAGCACAAATTATGCGATAGCGTGTAGGTGAATGTCATAAATAAATATGACTCCAACGAAAAGTGAGTGTTAATGCAGGAGATTTAGAACCTGCACTAGAGAGGGCATGCAGCACCGCATGCTGAAATGAAAATAGGAGTAGGGCAGCTACATTATTTCAGTTTTGAAAATAGCTGCTGGCTCAGGCATATCTGACATCAGCTGATCTCTGAGTGAAAAACAGAAAATGAAGTAAAAAGAGTCAGAGTGTGAAAAATCGGTGCTGGCATGATATGTAAAGGTTTTTTTTCTCTCCCTTTTTTTGTAGAGATCCCTTTGTCAAAACCAGAGCAGTTCATTGAGGTTGCCAGCCCTTTTCTCTCCTACCGTACCAGGAGCAGCGGGGGCTCAGTTCCAGAGCCGTGCGTACACTGAAACTGATAAATTTATAAATAACATTTTCTTCTCTCCTTTCTGATGTCTTTCAGTAGTCTATAGGTAACCTGAGCCTGACCTCTTTATAGAAAAAGGAAAGCATGATAACAGCTTCCATATGGAGGTCAACAAAGTACATCACCATTATCATAATACACCATTATCACCTGTTTTTTTTACGATCTTACTTAACCACCATCTCGACTCTCTGTTATGAATGCATTCGTAGTAATTGAGAAATGTGAACTATGGGAATTTTGCTTTTGTGTTTTACAACCCACAGTGGAGTAAAGATTAGAGATTTGCTCCTTTTGCTACCGTAATACTATATATTTTTGTATCAACAAAGAAAAATGGCAGATTATAGAATGCAATGAGATCTGTGCATGGTATGATTATGATATGTTACATTTGCACACAACTTGGTGCTTGAATACGTGTCTTTATGTGTCAGAGAGACCAAGCAAAACACTCCCAGGAAGTGTTCCCACAGATCCCCTCTGGTCTCCATTACTGAGGAAGAGGAGACTGAATGTCAAGAAGGCCTTGAGCTTGACGCGGCTGAATGCACCACTAACTCACCAAACTGCACTGACAAAATGGAGGTATATAGCATTATGGTCCACGAGGGCGAAATATTTTCAGATTTCACAAATATTTGCAAACAAAGCATCGTTGTAGAACCGCTGTTATCCCTCAAATAGAATTTAAGCATCTGTGACCTGTTGGAATGCCAAAAAAGGAATGAATGAAGACATTATTTTATTTCTGCAAAAAGATTTGTTGCCCTTTGTCATGTCTTCATTTCATTGCTTTCCTGTTGCCTCACTCGTCTCTCTGCCCTGCATGTATGCGGTCAAAGGCTATTCAGAGTAGTTCTGTGTGTCAGTGACAACACGGCTGCCATCCCCCAGTCTCAAAGTCACTTCTGTTGTCTCCCAGCCAGGCCACTACTGACCAGGGGCACATCTGCACTAAAGAGAGAACCAGCTAGAAAAGGGAAATAACAGGGGGTGGGGATTCATTGTAGCAGACACATGCAGACAAAGAGAAGAGGGCAGAAACAAAGATAACAAAGACTAAAAAAAAAAGGGTGGACAACTGTATTGTTCAATTTAAAAAAATTTAGGGGAACTAAAAAAATAAGAAAATATAAACAGAGTCACATTTGCACTGAAATAGATGAAAGCGGGGCAAGAAACTGGGAAGCGGGGAAGAGAGAATCTCTGGTGTGTGGTGGTGGTGAGCTGAATGCGTGGGTTTCATGCAGGGAGAGGTCATGTACTGTGCTGATGAAAAAAGCAGCGCAATTAGATGATGAGCCATCAGTGTCTGCGTCTCCTGGGGGCTTCATTATTACACTTCACTCCTAGCATAGGGGAAAAAATAGAGTTCATATTAATCGCCCTCTTGTGTAACTGTGACCAGTTATAGAGCGGTTAGGTTAGGGCAGTGTGGACATGCTAATTTGATGTGTCGTTTGATGTGTGTGCAGGCGTGTGTGTGTGTGTGTGTGTGTGTCACATGGGCCACATTTATCTAAAGTGTGTGTTCCTGCTCTTGACAAGCACATGGCAGGGTCACGTGTTGACAGACTATAAATGACATGAGAGGGGTTTTTTTCTTTTGTTTTTTTTTTTGATCCAGCTCTATATTTCTATGAGAGAAGAAGGTGCCTTCACATGATGAGCGTAATACCCTAAATGCCCCACTCTCTCAACCGAAGTGTGGGTTAGAGCATTATGTTTCAACTTCTAATATGAGTATGGTAGTCATTAAACAACCAAGCACCTGCATAGTTTCAGTTTGCATCACTAATTACAGTTTATCTCAGGGGGAGAATGTTAAATTAGTTAAGAGTACATTGGAAATGCTTTAATTTGTCTGTGCAAAAATAAAACGGTGGGGTGGCTTTTGATAATGCCATCTTTCTCCCATAATGACTGTGATTTCTTTTGTGGAAAATTGCTGAAAAGCCAAAAGCAGCAGCTAAACTCCTAGGAGCCCTGTGTGTAAATTGTGTCTGTCTCAATATCTCCTTAGTCTACACAGGTAAAACAAGCAGCGCACCAAAGTGCCGTGCTGTCAGTGAACAGGACCTACCACAGACTGGAGCTCGAAAGCTTAAAGTTTTATGCACACAAGACACGTTGACATACGCGCTGACATTTTTGCAGCAGGAAAGTGTTGCTATACAGTGATGAAGAGGAGGTCAAGTGTGCCTCCCAATCACAATGCCTCTTTCCGTCTGTCTGGGTCTCTGGGTACTTATTCAAATATGCGGTGACTCACATACAGAGACACACACACTCACTCTGACTCATCAGAGAGTCTTGGCAGGGGTTGCTTTGAAGTTACACAACACGAAGATATATAATTCTTCTTCGGAGCTGAGTAAACTGTTGGACGTTCACCAGAATTTTCCCAGAGGGGAGCATTGTTTGAAATACATTTAAAAAAAAAAAAAATTTTAAGGAGGTGGGGAGGCTGGAGGAAAGTTGGAGCCAGCTGATATTGGTGTACTAATTCTTGCACTTCTCTTTGATAGCTCTAATGCTCTTTTAAAGACCGCAGCATCTTCCTTCTTGCTCACACCAAACATAATGCTACTTGAAGCATATGATAATAACTCATTAGCTATGTTTCTTTATTGTGCTGGCCAGATGAGCATGAAATCAGGACTGTTTAGTAAATCCCCTCTCAGAGAAGCAACACACTAAACAACATTATAACTCCTCATCTGTCACTGACAGTCGGGGTAAATTAGAGCTGGTATTCCCTGTTGGTGTTTTTAGCAGGGGGAGGGGCAGACCCTGTCACATTAAACCGTGTCTCAGTGTTGGGTGAGAATGGCCCAACACCACAGCTGGCATGGAATCACTAGAGGGTGGAGGCGTATCTCTGCCAGTGCTACTCTGTCAGCAACACACAGTTCATGCCTCTCTCACTTTCTCTTTTTTCACTCTCTCGTTGTCCCTTTAGGTTACTGCAGAGGACAAGAAGAACAGTGATGACATCTCCAATGGTAAAAGCTGTTCCTTTGCAACACCAGGCCCCTAATACGAGCTGTCTTTGAATCCCAACATAAGATGGTTTTACCCGAGGTCAAATATTAGACTGCCACAAATAACAAATGCCCCTTATTTTCAGTTTTTTCTGGGTTTTTTATGCAGTTGACATATGTTATGGAGGTCTTCATTACTGTTTGACTCGAACGGCATCCGTGCATCATAGTCCCAATTAATGTAATTAGACGTATTTTTATCTCTTGCCTCCAATCCAACCATCGTCCTCTCCGTGCTTGTAGCGGTTGGTCGAGACGTTTTGAAAAAGATAGGACTGAAATTATGCTTTGTGACAACCGGCCAATTCCCTGCCTCCTCTCTGCCCCCGTTTAGTTGCTTAGTAACACCTGCAGTTTGAGTTAACGGACCACCATTGCTCAACAGCAGAGACGGTGGCCCTCGCCACCTCAGCTTTCTGATCAGACTCTCGCTTTAAGTAGAGCTCGGGGGCAGACTGTTTGTATGTGTATGGGTGTGCATGTGTGTGTTTTTTGGGGATGTGTGCATATGTCTATGAGATGCATTGAGATAGTGGGAGTCGGTGAGTGGGAGTGAGGATGTGCATGTGCGCTTACACTGTGCCATTATGTGGGAGTTTGGCCAATTCGGCTCGGTGTGTTTAAGATAATGATTTGAGTCTAGGATAACTTGCTATGAGTCACAAAAGGAAAAGCGTTTAGTTACTGAATTTTGACAAAGAGGATATCAAGAATTTTACCCAGTGGCTCCACTTTCAGCTAGGTGTCTATATTCTACATGCATACTACGTTATACCAAATGACTAACACAAGAAAATGCATGTATATAAATGTATTATTACTCAGGAACGGTGTCACCTTATGTTCAATTTAAACTTTATTTGCAGATAGGCCCCAAACTGAAATCAAAGAGCCTGTAACTAAGGAATCCTACTATGCGACTAACAAGCCGGTCCTACAGAAGACCTGGGTTGACCTGGAGGACTTTGATAAATGCTTTCAGTGAGACACATATACATACATGCAGAAATAGGTTCTGATTAATATCATAATCGCTCATACTAAAAAATAATATAAAATAAGTGGGGTTATTTGTATTCTAATTTCAGGACTCTCTTGGTGTTTCATAAACCACAGACTTACCAGCATCATATTCAGAAATCACATTTTAAGGTACAGACTGTGCAAGTTCTATCTACGGGACTAAACTTTGGTTTTATTTTCCCATGTAACTGAATGTGCTTTGACATACAATTAGTAATTGTACGGGACATATTGTGATTAACTAAGCTGGTTTTATCTGCAGAATACTGTCCTCTCCAAAACAACAGTAGCCGTCAAATGCAGTGGATCATCCACACAGACACTTAGCTCCGGATCCCTTGCTGTAGCAAGCCCCGAAGTAAGCATGTAAACAACAGCAACACTCCAATATGCATACTAAGAATTGTCTCGACTTGTTATTCTGAAATTCATACTTTCTGACCCTTTTGGTCTCTGTCAGTCTTCCCCTCTCTTTGTCTCCTGCTTTGCCTTTCTCAGCAGCTGCTTTTTCTGACATTACTTAATTCTTTGTCTCTGTATCTCTCATTTAGGTGCCAACTATGAAGCCTCCATCTGTTTTTTGTTTTTACTTCTGTTTATTTGAATCCCCCACTGCAACCATGCTCCCTTCTCTTCTCTGAATTTTCCTTCAACTGCTCCTCCACTAAGCCACCGTTCTATTAGTTTATCTTCCATGTCTCCCGACGGCTTTCTGCTCTTTCTCTCTTCCACTTGTCCTTCTCCGTGTTTGTGTTTCTTCCAGCAGTGTCCAGAGGTGAGAGGCACTTATTACCTGTGTGTGGACAGCCTGCAACCTTCCCAGATCCTCATCAGCTTCTCTTCTCTTCTTCTCTGGGGACATGCAGCTGAGGAGAGTAAGGGCTTATCAGTGCACAGACACAGACACACATACATGGAAACACAAACACTAACTTTCCTCGCAGGTACAAACCGTGCATCAAAGACATATTTAATCTACATTTTGGGTTATTTTTATTTTTATTTTGTGAAACCACTGTAATTTTGTTCCCTGCAGAGTGCCACCAGTGCATTTATTTTTTTTACTCCACTTTCACAGAACAGGAAATGTCAGCAGCACGTAGGTCTGCAGTTCTCATCGCCGTGCCACACTCTTGGACAAGTCTGCAGTCTCAGCTGCCAGTTCTCTCCATCAAGACCACCTCCACAAAGGCAGCTGTGTTAAACTTGCCCTCGGGGTAGGACAGCACTGATTTATATTAAGAACTGTAGAGTATTTTGATCAAAATGATAGTCTTAGATTAAATTTGCAGCAATGCCTTTGTAGTATCATCGTACTGTACTTATTATGCTCCATTGTTTCTTTTGCCTAGGATTTTGGTGATGCTATGATTTCCTAATAACACATTACACTCAACACACAATACTAAGTAAAAGCATTACAATTGTATCCATTCTAATCTCATCCTTATGTAGCTTTAAACCTTATCTTCTGACTTCATTGTCAAGTTATGTATTGAAACAAAAAATCAGCTGTTTTAGCATTTCTTAACACTTCAATTCTCCTCCTTCACATTTACTCTCATAATCCTAAATTACCCTAAGCGGTATGTAATTGTCATCACGGGAACTTGTTCTAATAATGGTGAATTTTTCCTTTTTTGTACAGCACCTGTGAGATCTTTTGACAAAGAAAAGAAAATGTTCATGTTTCACACTTGTTGGGATTTATACAGCTGAGCAAAGATCTGTTCTGCATAGCTGTAGAGTATCATGCAGAGGGTACCCTGCAGAGGATATCTTGCCTACCTCAGATGCTCTGAAAAGCAGTAAAAAGCATCTGTCCTAGTCTCTATTATTGGGTGTGACTTGGCCTAGAAGCAGAGGGCCTAGTTTCTGGGGTCAGGTGCAGGTATGGAGGAGTGCAATTACCACTGAGCCATAATCACACACATAGCACTCAACTAACCATGCCCATAAACCTCATAGTATTAGCTCTCCAAGACATAATATCTGATCTTGCTTCTGGGCAGCAATCATTTTAAAGCTCTCTTTGTATGCCCATTTTCATATGTTAAACTTTATGGTCTCGCCATTCACATGATGATCTGTGCTAATCTGTTAATGTTAAAGAGGTTTTTTTCCATTATAATCTTGTTTTTAAGTCTCTTTTGTCTCAGTTTCTGTTTTAGTTTCTTCTCACTGTCTTCTCTCCCATACGCCTTATCTTCTTTTGTCTCGCTCGCATTTATTTCCCTTTTGAATGTTTCCACAGTACTAGCCCAGCTCTGCCTCAGTGCTCATCCATCTAGTTAGGGCTGTAATGGCTAAATTATGTAAAGCTAATGGGGCCAAGAAAGTGGAGCTCCACTCTCTCATGCCTGACCAGGCCTTGTGAACTCAGTTTGGTATTTGGTGGAGAGGACATTAGGCTACTGCACATCTGACTGTCTGACCTAGTCAGTATTATTTGACAGGAACATAGCTCCTCTAATGCAAAAAAAAGAAAAGGGATTTCTCTTTGATTTTGTAGCTTCTGTTAACAACTGCATGAATTACAGGACCCATGTTTTTGCACCAGACCATCACATTGTAACTAGTTAATCAGTGCTATTCACGTTCTCTGTCAGTAGCTTTAATTGTTAAATACAGCAAAATGTAAATAAAAACAAAATGCAGAAGCACATTTTTTTTGAAATGTGGTTGTAGGACAAAAATAGTTGGTGATTCTACATAAATAGTTTGATTTTCTTTTGATTTCTTTATCCTAGATAGTTTTATAGTTGAATCTAAGAAGGAAACGTCACTCTGTGGTTGAACTAATGGCAACACGTCAGGCCCGGTGTGGACAGACTGAAGGTCACAAGCCAAATAGGCTGGAAACCACAGGTTTTAGGAAAGTGCAATGAATGAGTGATTGCTTTCAGAATGCAATTTTTTTTTTGTGCTCTTCCCATCAGGCGGCATGTGCTGTGCATCCACATAAATGCAGCATTGGGTTACCATGTCCACCTCTGCAGCAAGACACCATTTATCTTTGGAGAAGAAGAAACCATCATGCCACACCTTACAAAGGTGCCTTTATTTATGACGATGATGGTAATTCCATTGTAGTAAATGGGTGGCTTTCTGAGCGGTGGCGCTCCTTTCAGAATATTATCCTGCAGCCGTATTCTGCCACATGCTGCTACTAAATAGATGCACATTCACATTTCTGATATAAGATTTGACATGTAAATGGCTTTCTTTCTTTCTTTCTTTCTTTCTTTTTTATCTCCAGGAAAATTTTCACAAAAATAGAAGTGATCGCTTTGATGATACAGTATATGTAAATAGAAAGGGTCAAAGGGGTGCATACTGACTAAGAAATATAAGGGGTGGTTAAACACATGGAGAAACTAGCCCTCATGGTGTTCAATTTAAGCACATCTGTCATGATATTTTGTGGTGAAATCACTGGAACAGAATAAAATAAAGGGAAACTAAAGAGAATATGTGCTTTTTATCCTACCTCATGACATTTTTTTTTTTTTTTAAAAGCAGAGCTTTTTGGAACATAGTGACAAAGAGGATAACATTGCCCTTGTTGCAATCTCCTCACTGTGGCATTTTGAAACTGGGCTTACTCCAGCTTCAATTTAAAAAATCACATCATGTTAGTGACTCTGCTCTCACACATTTTCTCTTACCTTTGTATAGCTGAATGTATATTTTTCATCTTTCTTTTGTCGATTGTGTAGCCTTAGCCCATCACTGTTTGTGTGCATATAGCAAATGTTCTATAAGCAATTCTGATTTGATCACCATGGAAGTGCACCAGATTGTAGCATGATACACTGTCCTTGTTTACTTTCTGTCTGTGTAAACTCCCAACACTAAATAAAACTGAGATGCCTCCCAACTGTTCTTCTCTTTTAATAGGAAAGTGCCCATTTCACTGAGCAGGCCTCTTCCATCTTTAGGGCCCTGTCCAGATTGGTGGCTTCTTTTAGTGATAAGCAGCAGCAGCCAGCACTAAGAAAGGGTCTTGAAGAAACTCACTGTCCCAGAAACATCAGCACCACCCAGGAAAAATGGGAGCACTGCAAGGTAGTTTGCTCATAGGTACACACAGATTCTATGTAGAGTGCATAGCTCAGCATCCTTTATACCTTTGGCAAGTCATTGACAGTTGACAGCTGCTAAATCTATATGTTGAAAAATTCGTTTTACAGTTGTTAGGCCATGTCTTTAATTTAGATTAGATAAATTACATTGATTTATGACTTTGAATGACCAGAAACTTAATTTATTATTGAACAAATATGTTTGGCTGTTATAGAAAATTAGTGTTGCTTAATTGACATTGATTTACAATAGCTCTGAGGAATAATCATTTCTGACTGGTCAGAATTTCTGAATTGCCTCAATGGAGTCCATATTTATGCGACTGTGGTGTCTTTTACTTGGAACCGAATGCATTTTTCACAAGCCTTACAAAGATACCAATGGAAGAAAAGGTTTTCATTTAAAGAATTTAGGTAGTGGTAATGACTGATGTGGGGCCTAACAACCCTCCTACACATGTAAGGCTATTGGTCATAGGAGCTATGGATTCACATAGTTACAATTTTGCAAAATGTGCAACCACAGCAAAATGACCGTACATCCTCTTTAATTTGGTCATTGCTGCTGTCTTTCCTCCTTGGCCTTGTGTTACACACACCCAAATGGTCACATTTGCTGATGATCAATTAATTAAGTCTATTTGATTAGCAGGTCTTGGCTGCTACCTACCCTCCTAATTCAAATGGAAGCAGTAAAGGTGTACTTGGTTTTTCACACACTCCTATATTTTAAATAAATGACACATTGTAATATGCCATATATTGGTGTTCATCTCAGGTTGTATTTAGGTGATTTTAAGACCTGCTCAGGCTTGCTTGCTTGTTATGTCCTGATATGTAAAACCTTAGAATTGACAGAAGGTGTGTTTTCTTTTTACCATGACTGCATGTGTTCTGGTGTTTGTAGGTGTTTAACTTGGCAGTTTACCACATGCTGCGTGAGGCTCTGGGGAGGAAGCTGAAAGCAGACGAGCAGTTTGCTGTACAAGCTCTCACTGCTGACCCTTCACTGTTCCCTGAAGAATACCCCCCTATATGTAGGTGCCACTTATTTGTTTGGAGATATTGTATGCTATCATGTTATATACATAACATTAGAAGCTCATAGATGTAATTGTAAAAGACCACTTCTGTCAGTTGTGCTAAGCTTATAAAAGTCTGTATACCTAAATATATATACTAAATATATATACATATATATATATATATTTATATATGTGTACTAAACTCAGTAGCTTTAAACACTGTAGGGCACTGACTCATCCTAAGTAATTGTTCACATTAGAAATATCATAAGATTGCAACTACACATTAAATCAAAAGAATATTAATAAATGTGTCTTTGTTTACATGCAGTGTCGCTCTTTTCATTAATTCATATTCACCCACAATTTGCTGTTTTATGCCCTCATTCTGCTTGTTAAGTAAATGCAGATTTGGAGCCCCCAGAAATGTGGAGAGACAGGGAGCCAACAGATAGAGAGGTCAAGGCAGTGACCGTTCTGCAGGCTGGATTCAGAGGGCACTTGGTGCGCGAGATCCTTGATGCCTCAAAACCTGGTAAACAACTGAATGTACACGCGCACACACAGAGAATATAATATTTCAAGGAAAGTGGTGTGATTCAAAGCTCATCTTTCAAATCAATAATAAAAAATACTGGCTTTTGAGTAGACAGCGCCAGTGAATACTTTATTTTCTGTGCTCTGTGAAGGAGAAGAGAGACACAGCAACTACAGCAATTTAAGTAAACAGAAAATGTGCAAAAAGACCCACAAAAACACAGGATGGCCTGTTTTTCATTCCTAGATTGTCATTTATTATCCAAAAAACCCCTCACACACAAAACACCTGTTAGTTCTGCATTCACTGTATAATTTAGCCTGCTGGCGTACATCGAGCTCCTGAGCAGCAACGCAAATATGTATTGATGAGACTGCCACTCTTACTAATAAATCCTGACCGATGGAGGCTAACCACATCGGGGATACACAGACGAGAGGAAACATGCGCATCATATACATGTGCAAACAGCGTTCCTGCATCACTGACTGATGTTCATTAGTGATATCAACAGAAAGATAGGGAAGAGAAGACGGGGAAGCAGTGAACACTTTCTAGGAAAAACGAGAGATTACATAGAGACAGTGTTGTGCAGCTATTCCAGTCTGGCTTTGGAATAATATACTGTTTTAGTATCAGTGTTGCTTTTGAACAGTTTTCTGGTAAATTAGAAATTTCCCTCAGTTTTAGTGAAAATATTTGGATGTGTTTTTAGAGATAATGTAACAGTAATCGTCTTAATGTGAAGGTCCATCACTGTTTGTTGATTCCCAAGGAATCGCTGAAGGCGATGTACTGCACAGCCATCCTCTGTTTATTGCTGTGCCTTCTCCAGGCAACAACACATGACACTGTGACCCCTCTGAGTAACTTGTACATATGGGGGTATGGACAGTTTCATTAGTGTGGGGTTTGCCTAAAGCAGCACTGTAATACACCAGAAATGAGAGAGTGCCTAATTTCCCATGGCTTGAAAATGTAGCTTGAGCATCTCAGACATCTAAAATACCCACATCATTAGAGTCAGTCTGCCAGCATCTCGAAATTATTATGCTGGTGGTCGTGTGACATTAGTATGAGCACATGTACATGCACACACTGAACAGCTTGACTTTTTTACGAAATTGGCCTAACATAGTTAAGTTCTTTCAAATCAAAGCACAAAGTGCAGCCTTTAGAGTTCCACTCAGAGTGATACTGACTGTCTAACAGCACTTTAAAAAACCATTCACTCAAAACATGCCACAATGTCCACATTGCCCAGGATAGTACTTGTTAATGACATGGTCCCCTTCAAGCACCTCAGTAGTTCCCTGGTATTTATGCGCACTGCTTTTGCTTTATTTTCTTCCACTCTATTAGCTCCATTTGTAAATCTCATTTGCCAGTCTTACATTATGCTGGTCAGTTTGAAGTGCCACTTAGAAAAGAGAGCTGAGGGCAAGGATGTGTGGCGGGAAAAACTGGGGATACCTTTTGCCACATGTGAACATGTGAAAAAAAAATACAGCATTAAACAATCTCTTCTGAGCATTTCTGTGCACACGCACACATTTACTGATACATGCATACTTGCAAGTATGCAGGATTTCTTGTCAAAAATTGCGTTCTGTCAGAGGGCTTACCTCTCAGGTGAGATGAGTGTGAAAATTAAGTGTCAAGGTGAGAATAATCTTCTCCTATCAGCCTATCGCTGGATGAAGTAAAAATGCACTTTGCAATATCTGCTTCCCACTCTGAACTAGGTCAACTTCAATGATTTTTTCATGCGTTTGACAGCAACATGGGTTTTTCTTTCATCTTTAATGGAGGCTACTTTTCTGTGCGTGTGCTCATGTCGTTCAGGAACGAAGGAGAACCTCAATGCGTCCAAGATCCTTTCATCCGTGTGGTCGACAATTGAATGTGATGCACACAAACATGCAGCTTTCTTGCTGAGGTAAATGAACAACTGAGGTCTATCAAAGTGTATGACCAGAGGTGACTAAGTAATAAAAATGTACTGACTGTGTGCGCTTACATGGTGAGTCTAGCAATCGTAGTGGGTTTTTTTGTCAACACAAATATTTGAAAGTATATGAAAGCGCTGCAAATGCGTTCCAGTGCCAATGCTGTGTATATTGCATGGCATGCGTTTAGCCTCTCTGTTGCACTGCATGTCCAGAATCTGCTCCCTCTCCTGGTTGTGGCAGCCTGTGGGGGACATGCAGGGAGCATTTTCCACATTGTGTTCCATCTTTTCCCAGTGGTACCATCTGCTGTTTATACTCTCCCCGTTCCAATCAGCTACCAGCGTCTGCCGAATGACCTGCTGCCTGGGGATGCATGTGTGTGTGCATGAGCAATAAAAGCTCGGTCAATGTGTGTACGGCGGATGAAGAGGTGGTTTTCTTAACTGACATAAATAATCACTCAAGTCAAAGATCACACTGAAAAGCAAAGTGCATCTTGGTTCTTTCTTATGAAAGAGGCATAGATTGTTTTCTGGGACTTTGTAATGAATACTTAAATTAACTACTTAAATTAAAACTGTATTCATGACATCGTTTTTGCTTAAGCTGAAATTTCTAAATGTGCTCTGAACTTTCTGTTTCTTGCACAGGCATATCATCAACAATTCTAAGAGGAAAGCGGACCTCTACCCATGTCTACGAGATGAATCGACTAAAATCGCCTTTGCTGATTACACTGTCTCTCTTCCAGACACAGCCAACTCATGGGTCTTGGTCTTTAGGTCAGAGAACATTGTAAACTCAGTGAAAGAGAATTCCTAGGCTGTCTTGGAAAACCCTGGTGGAAATGCATGATGTCCTCTTATAACCTTGCTACCTAGCCGTGCTAGATATATTATATATATTGATATATTATCGGCTTGATCTTTTTACTGGTTCACAGAGAGATTTTCCTGGTTTCTGAGGAGATGCTGGTGATACCAAAGGTCTACTCTCCAATCCCTAATTGTCTCCTGCACGTCATAAATAATGACACAGGAGAGGAGGTAAACACGGTCTTCAACAGAGTAGCACCCCATGTCTATCAACCCAATAAGGTGTGTGGATATAACATGAATTTTTTGCGTGGTGCTTTTTTGAACTTTTTTAGTATTATATATAGAAAAATCCTTTTAAAACTCTTTATTATAGTATTTGGTATTGATATTTTCTTTCCAATATACCTCCCTTCTAAAATAAAATTATAATTTTATGATGAACTTTCTATCCCCTGGCCCAGCTTGGTTATACCTTTGTAGCGGAAGCTATCACACCTGAATTACCCCCTTCTGGTGCAAAGTGGAGGATGTGCTTGATCGGCTCAAAGGAACCACTTCCAAAGCTGTCCCGCGACACCCCAGTTAGTGAATTCTCAGTAGAGGAATTACGGGAGTATTACATTCCAAATAACAAAAATCTCATTTGTTGGTAAGAGAATTATATGGCATACAGTGTTGTTTTTTAATGTTAATAAAATGGAAAAAGCAGGGATGCTCTGAGAATTTAATGCTATAATGTGAAATGTTTTATAGTTACAGAGTACATGTAACAACAGACACTGTAGCAACCGTTCAGCTTCAGACTTCCCACCCAGATGTATTGATACGTCTATCCATTCTGGACCATGAGAAACAAGTAGCTGGCAAAACCGGGAAGGGCCATGTGGTGATTCCTGTTTTTTTCTTCCTGGTGAACAAAGGTGAGGTGTCATTAGGTGCAGTAACCAAAGCTTGTGATGATCTGTGTTTCATAATTTAACACTCGACATATGAAACCAATTTAACTGTCTCACAGTTTTACTGTTTCTTTCAGTAAATTTTTGTGACCGTAGTTGTTCAGTAGTTCTTGAAATTCCACCTTGCAGTTTTAATTGGTGAGAGCTACTGCAGTCTGCCAACAGCAAACCTGAATCTTTATTCTGCTTACAGTAACATTTGTAGTGTAGTGTAAGACAATCACACACAAGACACGTCAAATTTATGAGGAAGGTGGTATGCTACTAATGTTAAAATGGATTCAGCAGTCAACACTGCTAATATTAGGGTTTGGGGGGTTTTAAACATATGCTGCACTTAAAAAAAATAAGGATTATCTTTCCTCCTACTCTTTTATTTCGTTTTTCTTTTCATCTTCTAGCTGTCCAACAACCCACAGCTGGCCAGCAATTTCTACAAAATCCTTCTTAAAAGAGTTCCATGTTCCTCCCGACCTTTTGAGTATGATTTTCGTTTTGCAGAAAACATTTTAAATGTGGCACTTTTTGTTCTCTCATATGCTGAGAGAAAGCTCTGCTGCTGTATGCTCATTTTAAAACCAAATTGTACACAAAACCGCCCTTGAACCACTTCGGAAAGCACGAGCAAGCGTTCTTAATGTGCTGGAACTCTACCTGTTATTCAGAGTTAATTTTAAATGTTAAAATAATAGGAGAAGAGCTTTAGAATTTTTCACTTATTTGGACCAGATGCTAGAGTGTTTATAAAATGTTTCCTAGTATATTTATTATTCTTGTCTTTTATCAGCGTTAATAGATTTCTCTTTCTGTTACAGACACCGAAGAAAATAAACAGGAGCAGTCTCCTTCGGAGAACACTCTCCAGCAAAATGAAGGGGAAGACAGCGCAGTTAAAAAATCTATCTCCTCATCTGACCAGTACCAGCCTCCCACAGAGACTATGGTATCACTGACAACTGTCTGCGTGGTATCTGCTATTGCTCAAACACTTAACTATTCTCACTTTCATGGGCATCTCACTTTCCCTCTCTGTCTCTCTCACCCACGTGCTTGCTGCCTGTTGATATCATTTTTTTCTGCCAGATTACGCCTGTAAGCACACACACACACACACACACACACACGCAAATTTAGTCTCACCCACACTCACATTCTCAGAGACACAATTTGACAAGAAGAGGAGAGTAGCAGAAACTGGAGGGGTGTTGTTTTTTTTACTGTCTGACTTATCAGTGCTTGTCAGTGAGCCATGATTTGTGCATGATTTATGACTCACTGTAATGTCTGAAGACCCCCCATCTAACACACCTGTTGTCTTAGTTTAAGGGTTGCAAAAGCATATGTTATGCTCTGTAGGTGTGTATCATCACATATTCACATGCACAGGCATACAGTGGAAAAATGAAAAATAGTTATTGTCATTCATTATTATTATTATTATTCATTCTTTTCTGTGGTGATTTTTTTACAGTGATGCATCTGGTGAATAATAATCGCTTTTCCTCAGCAAATACTCACAAATACACACAGCAAATTTTTACAAATACACACAGTTAATGCCGCAGTTAAAGCAGTGAATTAAGACTACAAAAACATATATTTTTACAGACCTGTTAAGACGTTCGCTTCGGATACGCCATGTGTGTTTTTAAATCTTTTTTTGGGAACACAGTGAGTCAGTAGCACTAAGACAGATAATGTCGGATGACACTGATAGCAGCTATTGATTAGAGCTTAGAGCAGATAAAGACTTAAAGCAGAGGGTGAGTGAATAGGGTGGCGTTGTTTGCCACAGGGACTCACAACACACACAATGATGCATCGTAATGGTGGAATAATTGTAAAGACTTGTGTAGGGTGAGTTGGGGGGGGACTCAAAGATATATGTAAGCGAATGGGAAAAAAATTTAATATATGCCACTTTTATTTTTTGTAGTGCTTTTTCTGTTTCTTTATACGCTTGATTTACTTCTTGGAATTTTGTCTGAATTCTGTCCTTTCTGTTCAGTGTGATGTACGTGGGTGTTACGTGAGATAACCTTGGCTAACCAGCCCTCTGCCTTCACTTAGTTTTTGTGGTGAACATGCACTTTAATTGTTTACCACAGCAGCAAAGTGGGTTCTAGGTCTTTTTTGTCTCCCTGTGTCATGAACACTGATGCAGATGTTTATAGTATATTGTCAGGTTGTGTTGGCTTTAGTTCATAGTTTTGATTCCTGCATAAATCATGTCGTATATGCCTTTTTTTGTATGTGTGTAATGCGTTATATTGTACTCTAATGCAGGTGTTTTACATTGTTCATCCATGTTTCACAGGTTCACAAGTACGTGGTGCAGGCAGAGGTGCTTTATAAGACTTGGAATCTGAGTGAATCCCAGTTGGCTTTTGCTTGTTCAGTCAAAGACTTGGAGAACAATGAGACAAGAGGTACATACTCAAGGCATTTACTATTACCACATCAGTTTCCAAGGGGGCAGCCAGGAAAGAAACCCTGTTTGCATCTTTTTCCTGGAAAACATACACATATGATTGGATTGTTCACTATAGTGCCATGAATCTTCTCACAGATAGGACTGTAATGGGCCATAAAGCAGTTCATTTTTATTATTCTATCAAAACTTTGTCAGCATTTAAGCACTTGGTTCTGAATGGATTTTCTACTAAGCCCTTAATGTTTGTTTTCGCACAGTTTATTTTGTGTTCAGTCTGAAATGTGAGTGATACTCAGTAGGCAGTGTCAGGGGCCAAGGCAGGCACAGTTTATTCTTTGCTTCCACTTGCCATGGGCCTGTAATCACAACTGTAATGAAAGCCAAATGAATGCAGCTGCTTTTGCAGATCACAGAGTGTGATTTCTTGTGCCCAGTGGTCGCTGGCTGTGGCAGTAATCCCGTCCTCTGCCACCAGCTCTTGGTTCTCTGCTTTTAATCATGCTATACAAATTGGATCAATTGAAAAATCACGTCTTTGAAATTGGTTGAAGCTTCTTAAAAAAAATAAAAAATTGAAGGGGATAAAATAATCGCAGCATCTGTCGATGCTGATTTGAACGGGTTGCTGCATGGGGAGAGCGTGCATGAATGCCTGGAGAGGAAAGCAAGCTTGCTATCACCGAATTTCTGTTGTGTTTTCACCAGAGCTGATGCCAAGGTTCCCCGTACTTAACCATTCAGTTATTCCATTTGCATGATATGAAATCTACAGGTGACATGTGTGTTTGGGTGTGTGTGCGTGTCAGTGTGTAAAATGAACACTGTCATTTGAGACTGCCATAAATAGACAGTGTTTTTCTGTCTTTTTAAATGTTGTTTTTCCTGCATGTTAAGATTTTTTTTGCCAGTTTATGCTCACATTAGCCCACATATCTATCTATATGCCAGTGTCCATACAAAACCGTCTATGTTTTCCCTAAGCTTATGAAAATGGGTCAGTGGGATGTCAAATGAAGCAGGCTCTTGCCCCCTGGTGTCCTGGGAAATATCTCAGCAGGAAAGTGAATTAATTTCATCCAGTTTAACTCCGTCTCAGTGGTGAGCCTCTGCCCTTGATCATGCTTCCTGCATGCTACATGGATACGCATGCACTACATGGCACGCCAAGCCTCGAAACCTCTTTAACAAGCTGTTTAACAATCTGTAGTTAACACAAAAACTGCACTGCTTATGTTTTTGAATGCATGCACATTTTCACATATTTGCCTAAAGTCCTACTGTTGGAGGAGTCAGCCTCAGTTCTTTGCACCGTTACCATGAGAACACACAACAGTCTTTTCTTACAATTTCTTCAAGCATGTCCAACTTAAATCAGTTTTCAGGATCCTTTTGGGATAAATTCCAACAGCACAGATTGATATTTACATCCAGTTTTAGCATTGATTTTTTATTTTTTTTTATGTCTTGAGATAGGAGTAATTCATTGAGTATTCACCAAAGCTCTTCAGGCAGAATGGCAGGGTGTCAGCTAAATGATGGATTATTACGCCTTTATATCAGGGAAGTGAGACTCATAGTTAATACTTCATCTAAGCTGGGGATTGAATCTGACTCAGTTTTTAAAGTGCAACAGTGCCATCTAGCATACGTTCAGCCGCACAGCACCTTCTCTGTTTGTGTGGCAGTCCCCATCTTTAATTGTTTAAGTAGAATGTGAATATCCGATACTGTTGAATGTCTATAGACATGGCATGCATTCAAAACTGAAGCATTTTAACATTTCACATTAGAATTTTTTTTTAAAAAAATCTAAAATTTTAGCATTTCCCAATAAGGACATTAAATAACTTAAATCTAGATCTAATGTAAAGTGAACACCGTAGTTAAAGTATTTATGAAGCTAAATGCACAGCAGATTTTCTGAAGACAACAGAAAATGTTAATGTTCTTAATCTCTGCTTCATAATGCAGTAAATAAGCTTGAGGATGTAAAGCGTTCATCTACCACTAGCACACCAAATCGTGACGGCCTCAAGTCTGATGCAACCAAAACCCAGCGCAAAACCAAAGGAGACAAGGGGAAGCCAGCTGTCGCTAATGAAACGGTAATGTATTACAACAGTATGGTACAGGAAAGACAAAACACCGCAACTCTGCAAGTCTGTCAACTGCACATAAGGAGTAGAAATATAACAGCGCTTATAGAAAGGTATATGCATGCATTCACATGTATATACCCATGTTTATGCAGTCACCCACTCAGATTGAAGGCCATGTTTACCTAAGTGTATTTTTCACAGTGACTTTTAAGTTAAGAGAAGGTGCTAAGATATGTCACAGAGGTCTTGTTGTAGCTTGAGGAGTACAGGATGGAGGCATTTGTTTTGACAGTGTAGTTCACGTCTCTCCAAAGATGTTCATCCAGCTATGAAATGCTAGGCAATGCATATCAGGGTGAACCAAATCTCTGGCCTGCCTGTATACAGGATGTCTGAAACACATTCACCATGCATGATAACATAATCTGCATGGTGAGTGTGAATAATAGTCTCAGATAAGAACTTGGTTCGTCAGTCAGAACCACTCAATAAACCTATGATCCACATAATAGCAGCATTTTGATCAAAGCTGTGCCACACATTAAAGTCACACATTAAGCACGGTGACATTTAAACGTTTTTCTAATACTGACCTCCTTCGTTTTTCATTTAAAATTTGATGGTAAGTGCAACTTTAATAGAGAAAAGACACTAAGCGATCTCCAAATAAACTAAAAGTTATCTGTTGTGTAAAACAAAGGCAAAAAAACTAAGTTCTTTGCACTCTGTGTGCAAATGTCTGTGCAGAGCCTTGACCTAACTAAACCAAACTGGATGCTACGTGTTGTCACGGACAACAGCAAAGCAAAAGGCATCGACGTTAAGAGAGACACAGAAAGAATAGACCAGATTAAAACCATTAAAAAAGCATGGGAAATGGCCGAGCCGGGACGCTCTGCCAAGGTAACCCTTTTAATTTAATATATTCTGTCTTCTTTTAGAATATATAATGTACTCTAATTTATTTATTTTTATGTATTTATTTAAGTGGGCTACACTGAAACATACGCTTCAGACAGAATGATTTACTATGTCTTGCTTTTAGGCTTTTCAGTCTCGTCTCCATTTTCTTAAACAAGTGCAGCAAAAAGAGTGTGGTGATGCTGCTACAGAGGAAAACAATGGTATGAATCTTTAAAAATGGAAACATATTTATGTGAACTCATATGGTTTATGGTAATGTGAGCTTGTCCTATTGGTACTTCTATAGATGCTTCAAGACCTGGTCAAGACATCTCTCAGAGTGCATCCAATCAGAAGTTGACTGACACCCCCTGCTCCTTTCCTCACATGGACTACAGTCACTTTACCAGGTTCTCCATTGCTATACTTTTCCGTCTCTGTCCCTTTTCACTCTTTCACTATCTATTTGATTGTTCAGCTTGTCCCAGCATGCAAGCTTAGACGATATAGATGGGAAATGACACACAGCCAACAAAGAAAGTTACATCATCTCATTGTATTTTAAAACAGATGCTTGCATTTTCCTCCCCCTGTTGAGGTCCTGTGGCTAATATGCAGGATGCAGTCTAGTTACCTAATGTAGATTTGTGGACGTGAATTAAGAGCTGGAAGGTTGGTGAATATGTCGGTGTTCTTGTTCTCAGGAACAGATTGGTTCATACAATATCTGCAGAACATTGTTAGTAATTTCCTGTCTTTATGACCTTTGCTCTCATTGGTCCAGTGTGAACAGCAGTGTTACATTGTATACTTAACAGGGCCTGAAAGGGCAATGCAAGGACTTCAAGCTACAGCAGTGTGTGTAATGTATGGAGATAAGGTGGATGCTATTTAGTACGGCTACTGGCATAATGTTTTTTAAGCTGTACCTTTCATTTTTAAGAATGTAATGAAATTATTTACATAATAAGCATTATATTATTTTGCTGTTTATTTCTTCTTTATCCTTTTAAACTCTCCCTTCTCTGTCTGGGTTTATTCTGGGTACTTGGACTTCCCCCCATAGACCAAAGACATGCATCTCAGGTTAACTGGTGATTCTAAATTCTAACCCACAGCCCTAAATAGGATAAATAGTTAGGAATATGGATGAATTGATAGCTTTGCACTTAATCATTCATATTCTAGTGTTTGATAGTAACTTGATTTGAGTGGGTACTCTGAACATCAGGGTGATTAGTACATGACACAGCAAAAACAGTAAGTAGTTTATTGTTTTGAAATCGCTAAACATTTGGATTTACAGGCTGTTCATGCATTAAAAATATACACAAATGTAACATTTGTGAGCCTGCCATTCCTCCTCTTATATAGCTGACTTCAGTTTCTAACAGCACAGCTAAATGTGCCTCAGCCCTCAGAATGACAATACAGCAGCTCCACTACTGACATCAGTTACTGAAGGACTGACAGTAGCAGTCACCGAGAGTTTTTACTGCAGCTACATTTTTGTTGTTGTTTATATTTTAGGTTCTGATTTCTATATTTTGAGGCTGGGATTATTGTGTGGGTTAATCTTTGGTTCTGATTTCTACTTTAATGTTACTCTGGTTTCCTTTAAAGGCTAGTTAGCATATTTTTCCTCCTTATATTCTGTGTTATTTAACCTTCCCTGTGTCCTTAACTTAGAATTTCGAGTTCTTCGTTATCTTCAGGGGTTTTATGTTTGGTTGATTTGTGCTTTTTGTGCCTTGTTCTTGTTCTTGTTGCATTTGAGTTCTAGTTAATGTTTATGGAGTCTGTTTGTGATTAGTGACTCTTAGTTATTTCCTGTTTTACTTTTCCCCCAACCTCATTGTCTTGATTGTGTACAACTGTGTCTAGCTTTCCTCAGCTGTCTTTCCTTGCCTGCTCTCCCCATGTGTATAAATAATTCTGTCTTCGTGTTAACTTCCCCGTGTGTTTTCTTTCTGTGATCTGCTGGGCTAACTTAGAGTTTGGGTTTCTAGTTTTCATTGTTAGTTTGAACTGTGAAACAAAGGCTTACCTTCTGTTTTATCCCTCTGCCTCCAGAGTATACATTTGGGTCCTTTAACCTGCAATTCATGACGATTACCAAGAGATTAATTTTTAAATATCTTTGATATCAATACACATCTAGGATTACAAGCAACTATGAGTTTGCTGCCCATCTATGTGTACCCAACGTAAACAACTATTTGCACTTAATTTTGAGCATCAATAGGGAAAGGGCTTTTTGGTTTTCATATAAGTCGCTTAGCAATTGACCAATCACATTTCACTTAACCTTGGTTGCATATAGATACATACTGTACCGTGTAAACTGATCGAGTATAGTTAGGAATCAGTTTCACCATAATCCCCCCCAAATTCCACGTTGAGCACCAAAGGCTAAGCCAACAGACTAGCCAATGGCTTTCCAAATTGGTCTATGTCCTGTGTGTGACTGTATTGTCAGAGTAAGAGTTTTAAAGGGAAGAATCTCCCTCCACAGTCCCCCCTGGGTTTCCCATTACTCTCCCTGACACCATCTCTTGTTCCCTCCCTCCATCTCTCCCTCTGTCCATCCCTCTCCAGGATAAATGAGATGATATTTGGGTCTTTTAATTAGAGAGCTATTTCAGGGACACTATGAGCTCGTTACTCCAATGAGATGTGCCCCTCTCCCATCACCTCTCCATCCTCTCCTGCTGTGAGCGTGCGCATGTGCGTGCCAACACGTGTGTCCAGCTAATGGTGGCTGTCGACACTGGCCTGCAATATGAGCAGAGAAAGAGATGTGTTAAGTTTATTAAAGGGTGTCAGGCACATCAAGATTCACACTTGTGTACACACAGGCGTGTCTATATCCTCAGTTTCCCTCTCCAAAAATTTGTTTAACACCTGATCCTGACACAGTAGCTACAGTGCATGTAATGACACTGAGCTATAGTACAAAGTACTTGAACATATCTTCAGATTTCTATTCATTCTCATTAGATGGGTATACATACATGTGACAGAAAAATGCTGTGCACACCGTATACATTTAGTTCTTGTGCATACATGTAGACACCAAAAGGATTATCCAGTGGTGATGGACTCATACATAGAAGAGGCCCAGCAGAGGGAGCGCACTGAAAAGATCCAGACTTACCGGTTGGTCCGAGAGCATGTGTTGGAGTGCAGAAAACAGGAGGCGTTCAAAAGGAAGGAGCTAATGAAATGTCAGCTGGAGATGTATCAAAACATGCAGGTAAGGGACAGAGAGGGAGAAGAATGTAATGAAACAGAAAGAAATGAGCCACTGTGGCTATCAAAGTTAAAAGGAGTCAGCTGCCTTTCCCTCTAATTCTTTAACTACTTTCTCGCTGCCATTTCTCTTGTCTCCAGGCAGCCTTTGAGCAGCGCTGTAAGAACTTTCACAATATGTGCGAAGCATTTAATAGCCGTCATCGAGCAAGCATCAAAAAGGAACAAGAAGAGAAGGAGGCTCTGGAGGAGGCCCAGTCCGCAGCTCTGGAAAAACAAGCAGCCTTCACCTCTGCTTCCGCACAGCCACCCAACAAGCAAGACAAGAAAGCTGGCAAGAAGAAATGATAGTCTTTGGCACCAACATCCAGTCTCAATTCTCCTCAGTAGACATCTCAGAAGTAGTCACACTGAATTATCGTCATTGTGTCCCAGCATTGTTTACGTGCGCCTTACGAAACAACATCAGATGGGAAGTTTATTTGTTCACGATTCAGTGCGTTCGCCTTTTCACTACACCTTTAACTTTGAAACAACTAGTTGCTCTAACTATAGTGTTTATTAAATGTTCTAGTTTGATAGTAGTTTAACAAAGATGTTCACACAATTATAATATTTAGATCATATCCCATGAGATATTTAATGTGTTCTTTACCTATACTGTTCATTAATAGCTATGAAAGCAGGATTTGTAGTTTTTATTCATTTGAATCTAAAGTGAATGTTCACTGTCCATGTTTTCTTTTGCTCTACACAAGAATAAAACACGTTTCAAATTCTCTTGCTGAAACTGTAAAAATATTGCTGAGCTAACCTTAAAACTGAATTGGAGGTCTGAAGGATTTTTTTTTAATGGCAAAGCTAGTTTTTAGTTTAAGTTAAGATAACTCTTTATTGTCATTGCACAGTCATACATACAAGGACATGATACGACACATCACAATGCAACACAAACAACACAACACAGTAACTTAACTTAGTAATAAAAAATGAAGAATAAGGCTTGTAAAAGCTGTCCTTGAGTCTGTTTGTCTGGGACCTCAGCAGCCTGAACCTCCTGCCAGACGGCAGCAGCTTAAACACCTGGTGTCCTGGGTGTGTGCAGTCCTGTAGGATGCTGCGTGCCCTCTTGAGACAGCGAGTGCTGTACAGGTCCTTCAGGTCCATTTTTCTGAGGATTCTCAGAAAGTGGAGACGCTGTTGGGCCTTTTTTAAAACCGTAGAGGTGTTAGAGCTCCATTGGAGGTCTATGTCTATGTGCACACCCAGAAACTTGAAACTGGACACCCTTTCCACACACTCCCCGTTGATGCTGACAGGCTGCAGCTCGGACTTCCTCCTTCCGAAGTCGACTACCAGTTCTTTTGTCTTGGTGGTATTGAGGTCCAGGTTGTTGTCCACACACCAATCTGACAGCCTGTGAACGTCAGCTCTGTACGCCGTCCCATCTCCCCCAGAGATGAGCCCCACCACAGTGGTATCATCTGCAAACTTAATGACTGCGTTGTCTGGGTGGGTTCTAACACAGTCATGTGTGTACAGTGTGTACAGTAGGGGACTCAGTACACAGCCTTGTGGAGAGCTGGTGTTAAGGCTGAGGCCCCACTCTAACTCTGTACACGGTCTGAGAGGAAGTCTCTGATCCAGGCGGCAGGTGGTAGGAAGGTGGAAGTCCGATTTCCTGCAGTTTAACTATTAGTCTATCCGGGAGTATCGTATTGATATCGTATAAATTAAAAATTTGAAAAACTTGAAGGTCACATTGAGGATTCTTTTTGAGTGATAGTTTCTGTATTTAACTTAATTTTGAATTTAAATAAAAAACTATTTAACCACTTAATATGTCAAACATAATATGTCAAACAAACAAGCTTGCAAGGATCTTCCTTTTGCCTCCTTTGGCTTCACGGAGAAGCCAGTCTCACTTGCAATGTATGGCTGGGACCTTCTGGTGCCCAATATCTTTGATTATATTCCCCCAATCTTTAGTTTTTTTGAAGGTCACTATATTGACCGTACGACTCGATGCATAGTGGGTACAGTCAACCTCCCACAAGCTGAGTGGTACTGATTGATCGCTTGATTGATATATTCTTGCTAATACAGTCACATTGTGCGAGACAAAGCCAAGCACATAACAAAATGTAACACAGGTAGGTGGCAGATCTTTACTGCCACATGGCAACGATTGATTAACATCAAAGCTAAGTGAATGCACAGACTCAGAATGCTGCTGGTGTTTTGTTTTGCTTTTCTGTGGTCAAATATATCTAATATGGTAAAGTGCCCTTTATCTTAGTTTAGTATTTAGCATGCATGTAGTTCTGTGTACCTCAGAGTCGGCTGATCAGCTGAAAAATGAGAAGTTAAATTGGAAATGAAAAGGAAGAGGGTGCCATCTAGTGGATATTAATAAATTCTCATTACCATGCCTGCACTGTGCTGTCTCAAGATTGACAATAATAAATAGTTCAATTTTTTAGCTGCTGCATGGAGGAAATTATCATTATGCTGCGCGTGTATATGTGCACATTCTAGACTGCGTGCATGTTTGTGGACCAGATAGCAGGAGGAGAAGAATTATATGTGCCTGCTTGTGTAGTATGTGTGTCGTGCAGCAATTTGCTCCTCTTCTGAGGCTTTTTGTACTTTGCTGCTGAAAACCTATAGCATAAAATTCCTCTTTGCAAAAAATGAGTCCCTGTTATGGAGCTAAATTAGGCACATTCAGCATACGCATAACACTTTAGTTGAATTCATTTGTGTGTGTAGTCAAACATGCATACAGACTACAAATCTATCTAATATTCCACAAATATGCCTTGAGCACAGTGTTATTGCCATGCTATTTTATGTGTACAACTCATGCCGTGTTTTGTGTGTCTGTTCACTCTGTCAGGGTTCATTTAACCAATGACTGTTTCTACTCTCGCAACAGCATGACAAAGCTAATCCTGAAAGCCTCAATACTGGAACAGAACATTCCCTCTTGCACTGTTGCACCATTCTCACTTGCCCGATTCATTTTTTCCCTTCTAAGGCATTAGCTGTTATTTGACAGTTTCCATACATCTAAAGCCGACCTCGCTCTCCCTGCAGGGTGCTTGTGATACAGTGGTTGTCTGTCAGTGTATGTGTGTTGTATTATTCTGTTGTTAGAGAGATCAGCCATGACTCTAATTGACAGTGACGTGTGTGTATTAACAGAGAGGTGGTTTGTTAATTGGCAGCTGGTGGTTTGATGCAAATGTGTTGTGAGCAACAGGGGAACTCTAAAGTAACCTTGAAACCAAGGGGACAGACATCCACTGTATATGAGTGTGTGTGTGTGTGTGTGTGTGTGTGTGTGGGTGTTGTGTGTGTTTGTGTGATGTGTGTGTGTGTGTGTGTGTGTGTGTGTGCATGAGAGACGGAGAGAGAGAATGGGTGTGTGACTTCCACAAGTAATAAGAAAATATTTGATTCTTAAATGGACCCATATTGAGCGGTGTTGAAATGAACTAAATACACATTCCCAAGTGATGTGGAGGTGATGGTATTTTAATTCACTTTACATTTCAGAGGTAATAATTCAAGAATACCTTAATCAATTTCTTTGCTGTTGTTTTATGAATGACAAAAAGGGCATTTTGCACTTGCAGGATATCCTGTCTTTACTTGGTTGCCCTCTCGCTCTCTCTTTTTTTTCCTTTAGAAGAAAAATCTTTACCAAACTTATTATTTCTAGTGACCATAGCCCACAATGGAAAAACTACTAATCTGTTTTTATCAACATCTTGTAGAGCAGTAAATCCAATTCACAGTCTTCAAATGACAAAATATGGCCTACCTAAAGTTAATGTAGACTCATCATGGGTATGAATGTCATAATAATAAGTGGCACTGAAGGTTCTACGTGGTCTATTGCTTTGTTTTGTTTGTTTGTTTGTTTGTTTGTTTTTTGCCTGTCCCATTTGGTTCTTCAGCAATCAGAATTTTTGTCTGAAGGCCAAGTAAGATACCCAACAGATTTACTTTACCGTGGATCATCACGGCTTTGCCGTATTGGTCCATTTTATTGACCTTTGTTATTTTATTTTTTTTATTTATTACTGACAGGACAGACATAACTGGGGGATAGGAAAGGGAGGAAAAGAAAAACAGAGGGGAAGAGGGACAGTGAGAGAAGACATAGCCCCGCCCCCAGGGCATGAAGCATGCATGGAGGAGATCCAGGCCCCAGACATCCAGAGGCCCCCAGATCACAAGAGCCCAAGGAGAACCATTGGAGGGGCAACCGTGCCACCCTCCTGGAACGAGCTGAAGAGAGCCCCAGATGTGGGATCACCCAGGAGCCACAGTGCAAAAGCCAGAGGGGGCTGCAGTGACGAGCCTGCAGGCTCCGCTGGCAGCCACCCGCGCCAGAGTGGTCCAAGCCCTGGGCCCAGAGGCCCGAGGGCCCCCAACACCCAGAAGGGGCCCGACTGAGCCACGGGCGCCTGGATCTGCCAAGCAGCCACTGAGAATGAGCCGGTGCATACCTGAGCGTCCAGCCCAGAACACCAATGCACTGGCAGCTGAGGGCATCAACCACCAGCAGGGAGTGTGGTGGGGGGAGATAGGTGATTTACTACGACTGGTAGTTTCTCTTTGCCAGAATAAAAAGGATTTGTTTGAGAGGAGAAGTTATAGGGGAGAATTAAAGATTTACACAAGTTGGGAAGGTCTTATGAAGGCATTTCTACGAGCGTCACTGTCCATAGTGTAGAGACTTTTAGATCACCATTGACCAGAGGCTGCAGAACAATAAAGAAGACCCTGCTCCAAAATCAGCACCTTCAAGCTCAACTGAAAGTTAGAGCTACCCACATGGACAAGCCAAGTGCCTTCTGGGGAAAAGCTTTATGGCGATACAAGACAAAGATTGAGCTTTTTGTTCACAACGAGAAAATGTGTTGGGAGGAGTAAAGGTACCCAGACACAAATATACACTTCCAGCTTACACAGGGGTGCACACAGGGTCCTTTTAGCTTATTGACCCAACTTGCTGGAGCATTGTTTAGTTGTTGTTGCCCTCCTCCTGTGGGATTGAACATCTCTAGAGTTTCACACTCAGAGCCTGCCTTGCTGATAAAAGTCAGAGGAGCAAGGCTTCACAAGGAGAAGCTTGTGCTGTTATGGCTAAGCCACATCTCAGATGACAAAGAGCATCGGGCCAAGCCTTATGTTGACAGAAAGATATCACTGAAGGGCAAAAGGTTAGGGCTCACAGATTAGTGCCAATGTATTACTGCAGTAGCCTCACTCCCCCCTTGTAATTCTCGCTAATGCACACACAAGGGTAGCTCTGAATCCTTGACATTACATCATTACAGTCATTTACTTTTCACTTACTCCAAGATCATCAATAACGTCCACCTTTTTAAACCTTAAATAACATAAAAATTTGACAATTTATATTAACAGAATTTGCTGTTTTGGACTCCATTGGGGATATACATCTATAATGTGAGTGTGTAAACAGATTTAGGTCCCCACAGCAGGAATACAACCTGCACTCCACACACACACTGTTCACAATCTATAGCCAGTGCTGGAGGCTGGATGGAACCACAGACTGCTGACCTGTTTGCAGCCTCATTCTTCTCACCTTGCTTTGGCTTCACTCTCTTTTCACTCTTCTGTGGCCAACTCGCCAACAATGATGTCTTTCTTTTCTGCCAAGGGAGAATGTGAAAATCAAATAACTGGTTGCTAGAATTTCTTAGAAAAAAAAAGAAACTGCAATATTCTTTTTTAGGTGTAGGGGACACAAGGTCATCATCACTGGAGAAAAACAGTAGCCGTCATCAGATTTAGGTGACAAGAGACCTGTGGAGGGAAATCCTAGGTAATAATGTGTTCTATTGTAAATGACACAGATTAGCTTTCTAATTGTATCCTTGTCAATCAAATCAAATCAAATCACTTTTATTG